GAGGGAGATTGTCAGGGGGGGGTGGAAGGGTGTGAGGGTTGTTGGTGTTGAGTGGTATTTCCCCTTTCTCTTTCTCTTTCTCTTTCTCTTTCTGTTTTGTGTACAGGTGCGGGTGCGGGTGCAGCTGGCTAATGAGGATTAGGGCGTTGGAGAGTATCAAGGCGGAGAAGAGACTTTCGGAGGCGCGGTTTGCGATGGAGATGGCTCCCGGTGGGCAGAGGAGTGTTTTGGGGATGTTGCGACGGGGGTGATCCTTGGTTTTTGGGTGCTGGTGCTGGTGCTGGTGCTGGTGCATTATACCCCGGCGTTCTGGTTGATTTCAACGAAACGAGCATGCATGTTATTTCCTTTAGGTACAATGAGCCATAGCATTGGGTCTTGTCTACTACGTGGAACGTACATTCTAACCGCTGGCCTCCATCTCCTATAACCCCGACATTCGAATCGAGAACGGATACTTCCGATCCACACCATACGCCGACAGCCCAGTCATTTAGGCGAACGAATGGGGACGGCCTCTTACTTTGACAGGCAAGCAGATTTATGATGGACAAGAAGACGAGTGCAGGTGTCATGTCTATTCATCAGTCATGGTCATTATCATATCATACATCATCATGCAGCAAGTCACATATACAAAACACTAGATGAATGCCCCCCGAGGGCGTCGCCAGCCACGTCCGTCCCCGGGACTCGTGGGCGACCGGAGCTCAACCCGCATATGCGAGTCCTCACCGGCGATGAAGGGCGCCTCGTCTGGCACCGGTGGCAGCGGATTCGCTCGGGGTCGGGACGAGGATTGCGTGCTGTCGCCTGGGTCCGCGGTCATGGACCGGGTAGACGGTAATTGCCAGCCGCTTTGCATCTCGGTCGGGGAGGTCTGAGCAGCGTAGCCATAGTCATAAGTGCCGTGACCGCCATAGACCATCGACGACCCATACGGCTCAGGGACGTCCGAGCTCGAGTCGCTCGACGAGTCGACCCGTTCCAGCTTCTCGTGCATATCCCATTCCTCGTCGCCGGCGACGCGCGAATCCCCTTTCACCAGACCCAGTCGTTCCTCCTCGGTGGCTCCCTTCACGGCTTGCCTTTCGGCACCGGGGACCAGGTGGCTCCGACGCAGAATACTACGAGGCGAGTGAGGCGGCGGCTTGGGTGGCTCACTCTCACTCTTCGGCCTGATCCGGTTGAAGACTGTGTTGAAAGAAAACTGCCGTTTGGCCGTGTGGGGCGACGAGGCTTCGCGGTCCGGTGTCTCGTCCGCCCACGCAACGGACCGCGAATGGTCAGTCTGTCCGGAAACTTCGCGCATCTCCGCTCCTTGATAGCTCATGTCCAAGTTCGTGTTCCCGTGTACGGGAGAAACGGTCAGATGGACCGGATCCGCGTGACCGTCCTGGGGATTATAGACCTGGTGCCATTGCCCCGGATGCATGATACTCGAGGCTCGCGATCGCAGATCATCCAGAAAAGAACGGTCGCTCTGGCGGGTACTCGGCCTGCGGTCCGGATCGTCCTCGTCGGGAAATCGCGACATACCCAACGGAGGATGAGGGCCTTTGACCGTGCCAGGCGTGCGAGGCCGCGCCATGGTCGGTCCCTGTCCCAGAACAGTCTTGCGTCGCCGCAGACCGTCCCACTCGATGATCTCGTTCTCAGCCGGAGGTTTGAGGTAATCCTCCTGCCTGTCTCGAATATACCGCCGCGCTTCCTCCTCCTCCATATGACGGCGTGCGGTTGATATGCGTCGGATAATCGCCGCAGCACCACGAATCGAGTCTGCCTTGGGTTCCGTCTCCGGTTCTTCCTGCGCGGCCACCTCTCGAATCTGATCCAGGTCGCCTTTGAAGACCGCCGCGTCGGGAACATCTTTGGCGGACTTGGACAGTTGCAACAGAACGACGCCAGCGCAGATCTGAAAGAATCCAAGGATGACGGTGGCGATCTGCATGCCGGTGCCTTTGAAGCCCTGGAACAAAACAGCGGAGGAGACGATCGTCGAGCTCGTAAAGAAGACGTAGTAGGTGGGGGTGACTAGGGCGGCATTGAAGAGGTTCAGCGCTTTCTGCGAAGGGTCAGGTCAGCATAGTCACTTGAACTGATACAAAAAAGAACATACATTGAGATAGATAATCTCCGTCAGTAAAGTGGCGACGACAAACACGAGCAACACGTAGAGAAACCACTCCTTGAACTGCGATTTCCCATTGATCTGAGCCAGAATGGCCGCCCCGAGACCCTGCGTGGCCACCACGCTCAACCCACCGATCAGACTGCAGATACTGATGTAGATGAACATGGTCTTCTTGCCGTACCGCGGGCCCAGCCAGAGAGCGACGATGGCGCAGCCCACGATGACGACACCCGCATACGACAGGAACCCCGGCGCAATGACATAATGTTTCATCTCCTGGATATCGCTGACGGACGACTGTTCGGGGGCGTTCAGAGCAATCACAACCGATCCGATAATACACGAGAAACAGCCGACCTTGCCCACGAAACTGAGCCGCTCTTTGAGAAAAATCGCCGAGAGAATGGTGGTGAGCACGACCGAGAGCGCCCCCAGCGGCGTCACCAGGATCGCATCGACAAACGCATACGCGACGAAATTGCATATCTCCCCGACAATCATGAGAATCATCCCCGACCACCACCAGGCGTTCTTGAGGTATCCGTACCCCTCGCCCGCTTCTTCATTGTACTTGACATTCGCCTTGAGGAGACCCGTCTTCTTCAGCACGAACGATGTCCCGATGAAGAGACCCGAGGAGACGGCCAGCGAGATGCCGACGGCCTTGTATGCGGCGGGACGCTCGCTGGTGGAACTCGAACTGCCGGACCGGACGGCGAGGGTCGTGGCATGCGCCACGAGCGAGTGGGAAATATCCATGGATTCGTTCAGGGCATAGCACTGCCAGCAGTGTTGTTCGTATCGATAACGGGTACGCCAGCCAAGAAGAACGGTCGGTGTATATATGCTGTCGTCGAGTCTGGACGTTAGGCCATAAATCAACGCAATATGCTGAATCTAACCGCTGAAAATGAACCCGTCGGATCTCAGCACGAGACCAGCGAAACCCAGCAGATATCAGGCGCTTCGACCGTCGATGAACAGCCCCAAGCGGCAAATTAGACTGGCAAAAGTGGAGGATCGATTGGTGGCTGAGGGCCGCGTGGTTTCAGGAATGTCGGGAGGGCCGATAAGGATGAAGGCCACGAGGAAGACAGATGACAGATGCAAGGAAGAATGACAATAGTAGTACTATGAAAGAAAACAGATCAAAGAATGAAACGAGAAAAGAACAGACAACAATGAATCACGATGAAAAGGGGTTCACTTCTCCAAGTCTTGATGGAAATGAAATGAACGTGATGAGTGGGCGAGACTCGAACAACCAAACAAAAGAGGCTGGGCCAGTGAGTTACAGTCGCATCTCGACCCACGGCTGATTCTCCCTCTGCCCTCTGGAAGTCCGGTACGGTTGATTAGAATCGTCCAATGCATCATCTAAGAATAATGATCCATTGGATTGGATCTGATATCCATGGGTTGGTTGTCTCTGCAGTTCCAGGGTCTCACTGTGATAAAAATAGCCACTACACATCCACCATCGGCTATGTACCTTATCCATCTCCATCATTACAGACGACAAAAGATGCAAGTTTAAGGTTTAATCCATTAATTGATTGTATTCTCTCAGGGTATCCATCAGTAGTAAATGCATCATAAACCATGGGTCCATGCGATGATCCCCCAAAATAAACACAGAACGAAAGGAATGGTATGCGTAACGCCTGACCCTCAGCCAAAGTCATCCTATCCTATACATGAAAGAGGAAATCGTCAATCATCGCACATGATAACTGGGTTTCCGCTGCTTGTTTACCACTGGAGGAGGCTCGTCGACGGGATAAGGCGGCCGGACTTTCCCAGTAGACCCATTCCGGCCATGATGCACCACCAAGGGCATCGGCATCAGCGCCTCGTTCGCATTATCAGGATACGGCATCGGGGTCTTTGGTGGCACCGGAGGTGGCATGCTACCCTCATGCACCTGATCCATGCTCAGCCGAGGTGACGACATTTGGTGCTGCGAGCCGGGCCGACTCACGTCGCTGTGGGAATAGCTGAAGCTACCGCTGGAAACCCGTCCCGATGAAGGATAGACGCCATCCTGCGGTGTCGGATGCAGTGGCAGCGTGTCGTCAGCCGGAGGAGACGGTACCCGCAGGCCGCTCGACGGAGGTTGATGTGTCATAATCGGTGCAAAGTCGCCAGGCAGCTCAGCGGGCAATTCCACCGCCATGGGATTGGAAGGTGGCGGGACGGAGAATATAGGAGCTGGCGAAGTGTAGCTGTGAGGCGAGAATGCCGTATCTTCGGTCGGCTCGATGGACATATCATGTCCAGCGGCCGCATGCGCCGCCAGTCGCCGGTGCATGCGCTCGATCTTGGCGAACTTGACCCCGGCGTCCATGATGCTCTTCTTCACTTCGGGCTTGGACAGGTAGCGTCGGGTATTGGTGCTGATGTCGGCCAGTCGGTTCCACTCGTTCATGCCAAACTCACCCACGCCAACCTCGACATTCAGCCGGTAGTAGTTGTCCTTGTTCACTCCCCGCTTGGCCAGGTGACTGCGAAGCATCTCCTGGTGGATATCCTCGCAACCCTCGATCTTGGCGATCAGGCGTCGTCGCGCCTCGGCAAAAGTGCCGAGAGCATCCCCAAAGAAGTCTTCCCACCACTCATGCTGACGATTGTTCGTTCCCGCCGGACGCTTGCCGGTGCCCACGCTGACAAACACCCCGACTTCCCGCCCGGGCCACTCGTTGACAGCCGCTTCATCCAGGATCTGCGGCGCCGGATTATATGTACCTGCACCCTCATCGATGAAGAGATGCTGTCCGATTTGAATTGGCTTAAAAGCCAGACCGGTCGCCGAGGTGGCGCGGCCGGCTTGCCAGATGGTGCAGTTGAATTCGGGAGGAGGCTCTTTACGCGAGTCGTACGATCGCAGCAGCACCGCGGATCCGTTGCGCGGGGTGCCTTTGTATAACGCCGTGACGGCCCTGTATCAGTCAGTACGATTCTCGGACAGTATTTCCATGCAGACTTACGTCTTTGTCCGATTCTCCCGATTATCGTAGAGCAGAGCATCCGGGTTGCCCCACCGTAGCCCGTTGATGATCGCGGAATGCCGCTGACTGATCGGCGTCGAGGGATGCGAAGCGCCGGACGTGCTGAAACTGCCTCTACTCACGGAGCGCTGCGGAATCGCCCCTGGACTGTAGGGCACGCTGGCGATGGAGCTGCACGAGCTGGCATTGGGCAGATCGTTCCCCTCGGCCTCGAAGACCGTATGTTCCCGCACACATTCCCGGATCGCCTCCTCCAGTTTGGACGCCTTGAACAGGGTCGAGCGGTAGGGGATGCCGGCGATGGTCTTGTCGGTTTCGAAGACGCGACGGGTCATGCGCACGTAGACTTCCTTGCAGGTTTCAAGGTCGAGACGCAGCCGACCCAGCATGAGGGCGATGAGGCCGCCTGTGCCGGTGCCGGCGATAAGGTCGAAGTGGTCGCAGGGTTTGGGGATCTGGTCTCGGCGCGGTGGTTTGCCTTCACACTCGACGTAAATGCGGTACATGAGTTCCTGGAGAATGATGAGCATCGAGTATCCTCGAACTCCTCCTCCGTCTGCTTCGGTCAGTTTCGAACGACATCTCTTTAGAGGTGTGCTCCATACCTAACGACAGAACCCTCAACGGAGGGCCCTTGGTCGTGTCTTTGCGACGTAACGTCATAGTCTCCATGGCGCCGTTCGACGCCGACGCAACTCGTATCTCCTGAGCGACAATCACTCCAATGTCAAATTTGTGATCCTTGGACGGTTATCGGACGCAAGAATAAAATAAAAATAGAATTTGAAGGGTGGGGATGACAGGCGCAGGTGGGATACGGCGGGCGCCTGATCGGTCGAGTGGGAGGCAACGAATGGAACGGCAAGGTGCCTGAGAATCGGCGGATGGAAGAGATTCGATGCAGATGTCGTTCAACAAGGCAGCAATATTCCTAATTTATCTATCAAGTGAAAGGAAGATGAAATCTCCGGAAGACCGGCACAAGTGGAAAGGATGAAGAGAGGAAATATGATGATGATGATGATGATGATGGATTCCCATTTCCCAATCTCAGCTACTGAAGAAACATGGAGGAGCCCAACAGAGCCAGCTGACTGAGTCCCAGCCAGTCACAGTGATTTATCTCCTCTAATTTGGTCTTTTATTCCATCTTCTAATTTTCCATAATGTGTCATGGATTATTCACATTTTGTGTGTGAATGGTATCAGGTGTGGCGGTGCACTGCGTCATTGGGGCTGTGCTCCATACGTAATAGAGGAGTCTATCTCATTTGCCTCGAGAGAGGTGATAATCATAGCATGTAGCTCTTGAACACACAGAGTACAAAACAAATCCATGTTAGTTAATATCAAACGGTTGTTCTATCTCAACAACTGCCACTACGTGTAGCAATCTACGTACTACCCCGCAGTAATATGCCCGTAGACACGACGGAATACTCCATACAACCTCAAACTCCTATTTCTCGTATAGAATTAGAACCTAAGTATCAAGACTACAGACTCGCCTTCCCCAACACCACATCCCTCACCAACTTCAACGCCTCCTCCGCAAACGCAACCATGTTCCGCTCGCGGTCAGTCCCGCACCCCGTTTCCACTTCGCGCGTAACCGTCCCCTGCGGCGTGGACACCGCCAACGCAACGTATCCTCTACCCCATACACCATTAGCATTGCAGTACGCATTTAACCCTCAAGTGATATTGCGCAGGCGAAGGCGAAAGCGAAGGGAGAACTCACGGGGTCCGATTCCGCGTCGCGCCCCCCGTAGGCCCCGCAGTCCCGCTCTCGGCAACGGTATACGTCGAGCGCAGGGTCTGGCGGACATGCTCCGCGAGCCCTGCGACGATATCCGGCGTGGGACCCTGGTAGTTGTCGATATGGGCCTGGGTCCAGCCTGCGAAGGCGATGCGGGATTCCAGGGTGTAGAGCTGGAGGTCATCAGCTGGTTCTAGTATTCTAGTGAGAAGAGAGAGGGGGATGGAGTACCGTTAATCCGCCCTTGTAGATGGCCGATGCTCCCGCGCTGGAAAGCAGACATGCGGAGATGATGCCTCCGGCGGCCTGGATGAGATAATGCGATTGTATCAGAGATGTGTTGGGTTGTCTTGTACTTGAGACATGGTGAAAGAGGAGGGCATGCATACTGTTTCGGCCACGGAGATGGTTTCCTTGCGGGATTTGAGCAGATCGGCCACCTCTTTGATCAGAGGGCGGAGGGATGCAGGGGGGAATTCCTGTGTCATCTTGCTGAAAGAGAATGAGATTGTAGGCGAGACGGGATGAAAGAAGCGGTGCTTTGTTGGAGGTTGTTTCTACGGAAGGTCTCGCATGAGGCTGAGACGATGAGGTGTATCTGGTCTTGGCGTCATTGGATGGCATCAACTCAGGGTAAATATATAAATGCTTGAAAAGGGCTAGACATCGATGGCAAGCTATATCATTCTCATTCTCATTCTCAATCTGTATCTCTAGATATCTCGCATACACCGTCAACATGCAATCGCACCCGCGCTGTCTCATTCCCAACACCCCGCAAAATCAAAGCCACGAGTCGCTGTACCCCCATCGAGAACCAGACCCGGAATTCCAAGCGAGCGGCTTCCATCTCGTTTACAGGTCCCCAACACCCGTTGTGACCCCGGTGCAATCCTGCATTCCCTTCCGGCCCGCCTCGAGTCGGCTCGTCGATACACTGTACGAAGCCGCGAACTTCTTCGCAAAGATCCTTAGCACCTTCGGACAAGAAACCACGGCCATCCGATCGTATGCCTCGCCATCCGTGCTCAACGAGCTCTGGAAATGCAAGCTCAATGCGTCGGAGGAAATCGACGTCATCCCTGCTCTGAAGCAGGAGAGGTCGAGATGGTCGCTTCCTCAGAAGTACATCTCCGGCTGGCAGCAGAAGCGAAAGCGCAAGGAGCAAGCGCAGAGCGAGAACCAGAAGAACGCCTCGCACACACGGCTGGACCGTACAGTGCGTGTTGGTTATCGGGATTATGCCAGGCGTGTGAAGCATGATCTGTGGCAAGTTTACTATGCGCGCTGGCCGTCGCAGGAGGACGGGGAGAGCAGCACCGGGAGTGGATGCACCGCGTTGGGTGGGGATTTGAATCGATTGGAGCACTTGCACAGAAGATTCGAGGCGCTGTATGACGGGTTGGACAAGCTCTGTGGCCAGATGCATAACATCCAGTCATGTCAGAGATTTATCGATCAGGCCCAGCTGCTCCTGATATGTATGAGTGATATCGAAGACTGGTGGCAGCCGGCGGACAAGGGTAGAGGTGCGTTTGCGAAGAAACTCACCGGCCGAAGATGGATCTTCTAGCAAAGAACCATACCTTGTCAGGAAGTCACTCAGTCAATTCACCTTGCGAATCCGAACAGACATGAAGCACACGGTGCTGCAAAACCTAGGGCTGCCTCTAGTGCCACACGTCTAATCCAAACCCAGGGGTGCCTTAGTTTTCTAAGACCACCCCTGGGCGAGGAACAAACCTCGAGGGGTCGAAGCCCTTTTATGTTCATGGAGACCAACGGGAGACAACCGGTCTGGAGGTGGGGGCTGGGAGGCAGAGACTTGAGCACCAACCACAAAGAGGCACTCAAAGAAGATCATCAACGTCTAGCCGTGAAAGGAACGAAGTTGGTGAAAGAACCCGAGGAGCCCTCGGTCAAGGTTAGAAACAAAGAGAGCAAATTCACCTCAAGGAGCGGCTTCTGGCTCGCAAGGCACGCCTTCCCCCTGAAATCTTCCACGAGCAAAGTAGCAGGAATCTTCATCAGACAGCGAGCTTTGTCGCGAAACTAAGGCAAGTTGCAGATCTTGAGGATTATTCCCAAGATGATGTTTGAATGATAGTTGAAAGGTTGTCAATTCTCTATGTCCATCAATCAGACAATTGAACGGAAAATCCCTCAAGGCAGCTTTGTTCAATTCGTTAAACCCGGCCAGTCTAAACCCTGTCAGTATTTGAATGTAGAATCAACTTGAAGAGACTGGACTGACCGTAAACCGTCCTCTCTTTCATCGTCCGCAAGACATCCACCTTGTCTCCCACTCGAACCATCACCTTGTCCGATCCGGGGTCCAAGAAGACATATCGCCCAAAGACAGGACTAAACTTAGCCCCCTTGTCCACCCTACGATCCTTCATCAACTTCTTCAGAGCACTCCCCGCCTCACCCGTCCCCATTTTCCCAGTCGCATAGTCAACATTGATACTCTGACACCGTACGCAATTCGCCGTGAGCAGCAACCTCGCCGCACTGCCCCTTTGTCCCACCCTCAACTCAGCCCAAAAGTCCTCCTCAAAGGCCGTCGGCGCGCCCGAAACAACAATATTCGGCCGAAACTTGGTCATGTCCATGCGCTCGTCCCCCGCGAAGCGCGCAGAGAGTTCGTCCAGCGACGTCTCGGACGTAAGCAGGTAGGGCGCCGTATCGGCGAACGTAATCGACTCCTCCTCTTTGTCCGTCGACGAACACCGCAATAATACGTAGGACAGCAACCCCGCGACAACCGTCGCAGCAACACCGGGCCAAAGCCTCAGCAGCGCCTCCCTTGTCGACTGCACCGGCACTGAAACACGAACACCATTCAGCACGAGCGTCAACACCGCCAGCCCAACCAGCGACCTGGTCGAAACCACCGGCTTGGTCTTGGTTTCAAGCGCGTGAGCGGGACTCTTCCCCGGCGCGAAACTTCCCAGGACCCGCCGTGAATGCGGGCCCAGGTAAGCTAGTACAACGCCGTACCCGAACCGCTCGCTGAACCACTCGTTGTACGGATTGCCCATGTCGTACCCCGTCGTTGGGCTCTGGTGCATTTCGATGCTTAATTCTCGTAGGCCTCGTATATCTGGTTGCAAGGGTATCTCTAGCATTTTCCTCGCTTTGTCATCGTGATAACTGTCCTGCGGAGGATGATACGTCACAATGATCCGGCCTGGTACGCCTTTCTCTTCATTTGGGTAGACGATTTCCGTCGTAAAGAGCGCCATTTCGGGAAAATCAGGGACGTGCATGTTCTTGAGGGTGTGTGCGCCATCCTCGCCGGGAATGACCTTGAGAAGCATGAAGCGGCGGTCATATTGGAACCCTGTTCGGGTGAGGGTTGCTTTCGATAGGGATACACCGCGGAGGGATTTGATAGGATATGTGTAGAGCTGAAGAGATATGAGTGTGTGTTCCTTTGGAAAGGGGTGGAGTACGCCTACCTGGTTGATTTGCATGGCTGCCCCTGTAGATTGTTATGGCCGTTGGTTGAAGAAACTAGGGTCAGTGTTGACAATGCTAACGTTGTCTATGTCTGAGAAGTTGGACGCTTGGTATGTGGAAACGCGGGAGGATCACAATCGGACAGTGACTCGGCGGTTGAGATAAATAAACAGCCTTATCCCGCATTCTCCAACTTAATGCGGAGAAGTTTTGCTGACCTATCGGATGCGGGGATGACAGAAATGTGGTTGACAGGGCGCAGTCACCTTACTCTGTGGATAATCATGATAATCACACCACTAGTACAGTAACATTAGATATGACAAAAGGAACGGAACTATTCTGGTCACGGACTGAGTTTGTGTTGAAATTGTATATACATACATGCATCATAAAGCAGATATCTTGATCATGATGAAACAGCTAACCCGCCAAAAGGAAGCCTCAAACGCATCGTCTCATTAAATCGCAGCGAGGTATACTTTTAATCATCCCAAGGAAGGCTGAAGGTGCCCACCCAGTCTTCCACTTCCTTTCTCAGCAGCACAATCTCGGAGATCTCCTCGCCCTCACCAACGTAGTCCAGGAAGGCCTTGACTGTGTTGGGGTTCTTGACTCCCTTGGCCGCAGCACTCTCCTTGGCAGCCTTATCCAGTTTCTGGGTGATGATCACGGCACGGTCAACAATGTCGGCGACGCGACGGAAGTCCTCAGGCTGGAAGCCACGAGTGGTCATGGCAGGAGTTCCCAGACGCAGGCCGCCGGGCTTCAGGGCCGACTTGTCTCCAGGGACGGTGTTCTTGTTGCTGGCAACGCCACAGAGCTCGAGGACACGCTCAACGCGGGCACCGTCGACTCCGCGATTCTTCAGGTCGACAAGGATCAGGTGGTTGTCCGTGCCGCCCGACACGACGTTATAGCCGAGACCGCCATTGTTGATTGGGCCACCCAGTCTTTCCGAGAGCGCCTGGGCATTGGCCAAAACGGTCTCCTGGTAGGCCTTGAATTCAGGCGATTGAGCCTGCTTCAAGGCAACGGACAGAGCAGTGATGGTGTGGTTGTGAGGACCACCCTGGTGACCAGGGAAGACGGACGCATTGATGAGGTTCTCAAGATCGTACATCTCCTTGTTGCCCTTCTTGTCCGTCCGGCGAACGCCCTTGCGGTAGAAGATCATGGCACCACGAGGACCGCGCAGGGACTTGTGGGTTGTGGTTGTAACAATGTCAGAGTGAGGGAATGGCGAGGGCAGCACACCGGCGGCAACTAAGCCTGAGATGTGGGCCATATCGCTCAGAAGGTATGCGCCAGCGGCGTCCGCGATCTGGCGCATGCGGGGGTAATCGATAAGCCGACTGTAGGCCGAAGTGCCGGCGATGATGAGCTTGGGTCGGTAGAGGAGAGCCAACTTCTCCGCCCCGTCGTAGTCAATGAGGCCGGTGGATTCGTCCAGGCGGTAAGGCAGGGTCTCGAAGTATTTGGAGATGAAAGAAATCTTCTTGGTTGGGGTCTGGTAACCGTGCGACAGGTGGCCACCATGGGGCAGATCCAGGCCCATCAGACGGTCGTGTGTGTTGAGGACGGCGGAGATGGCATAGAGGTTAGCCGGAGATCCAGAGAGAGCTGTAGAAGTTAGTGCGTTGTGCCTAGGTGGTTTGCTAGAAAACTTACGCTGTACGTTGACACCCCATTCCTCGGGGTTGAGTCTAAAGGTCTCGAGGGCACGCTGCTGGCACAGTCTCTCGGACTCGTCGATGAACTCGTTTCCTCCGTAGTATCGCGCACCGGGGTATCCTTCAGAATATTTGTCTAGACGCAGTTAGTTTCAGCCTTGTGGAATCGACAGCAGCGGACTGACTTTGCATCACACTTCCCAGCGCATCGAGAACGGCTTGTGACGTGAAGTTCTCGGAGGGGATGAGGTTGATGAAATGCTTTTGGCGCTTTTTCTCCTGAACCAGTATGAGCGAATATATCCAACTGATGCCTGGCGAGGTCAATGCACCTTTTGCAGAATGTTGTAGACAGTAGGGTCTTCCTCCTCGAGGGATGCGGAGAGCAACTGCACGAATATGACATCAGCACATTGTCCTAGGAACGACGCGGTCAGAGAGAGCGTACATGTTGCTGGCCATCGCGGCTGGACGAGGATACACTCCGCCATTGCAGATTCCTGCATGCGGCAGTTGGAGTCTGAAGCTGGAAGCCCGGACGGCGGGCGGTGGTGATAGCAGTGGTAGCTCTGGGAGAGCTACCAGCCCGCGGGATGAGGCGCGAGGCCTGTCGTCCGCAACGACTCAGAGACATTGTTGAGGCAGAGATTCAGCCTATCGTCGTTTGACTCGTAGACAGGGAATATTGAAGAGAAAAAGAAAATGAAGGGAAAACGGTTGATATAACACTGGCACAACCGATGGTTATCTCTTGATCCATCGGACAACGGTGGTTCTTGATACGGGCGACTCCGTTGCCCGCGGAAAGCTGTCAGCCGCTAATCCTTTCTGGGACGGAGCACCCCGATTGGCTGATAGAGCGGAAGATGATGTTCCATTCCGAGGACTCGCTTGCACTGGATTTTAACCGTCTCCGCCTGCGTTCTCGCATCTTTTCCCCCTCTTTTTCTCTTCATCACACAACTAAATCCAAGATGAAGAGATGGCGTTTACGGCTTTTTCAGTTCTCGTGGAAGGGACGGCTTCTGGCTGGCTTTTCCCGGGCGATGCTGACATGTTCCGCGCCCACTCACCATCCATAAGGGGCAACGAACCATCTGATTGGATCTGTGTGCAAAGTCGTGGGATGAGTTTGGCAGTTATGATGTTGTTTATCGAGGCCTACATGTACAAGAATATCGTGATAGAAGTGAATAAATCCATCCATCTTCCATCTCACAAGGTTCGACGTGCGTGTCTACCTGATCATCAGACTTGTCTCCTGCCACCTGTAAGATCCTAGAGGGTATCTCACTTACTGCCTAGTATGGATGAAATCGACATTTACATGAGTCTTGTGCGAGGGTGAGACTTGAGTCTAGTGAAACTCTGTAACATGCAACACGAAAATATGAGGCAGGAAGAGAGCACCTTGCCTGTACTACGTAACTCCTACTACCTTGCTCTGTAAGGATCAAGTGCCTTAACTTCAATAGCCTGAATGAATCATGAGCAGAGTCCAGACTGTAGGAGAGTTACTACAATGGACAATCCACACTTATTGGAAATGACAAAAACTCTGATTCTAAGATCCGACCGATGGCGAAAGAAAGGAGTAGACAACTCTTCTGGGAAATGATTCTCAGGGCGGGATCAGGAATCGCACAGAGTTTGGATCAGGAACCATGATCATCTACGGAGTACGAGTCACAGAAATCTCTCGAGAGCCAAGGCTCAAGAGTCTCGACTCCTTTCAATCTGTCTAAGAAAGACAGGCCAACTCAGGCACGAATACGATTGAGTGCTGGACCCAGGCCGGAGTGACCATTTGATGAGTTCTGTTTAATTCCAGGGCCGAAAACCTGGAGATCCTACTGCATCTCTCAAAGTGCGTGTATATACTGTTTTTCTCTGTATAATCTTTAGCAATTCTTCCTAGAAATGCTAAATCCACGCACAAGACAAGAAACTAGTGCCGTTGACTAACACTAGGGCAGTCCACAGCGTTAACTCTCTCTGTACTAGACTGCGAGTAGCTTCACCTCCTGCACTCCTTATTCGAGTAATTTTAGAGGTTTAATCTCCTGAGTCTGACTAGATCCTTGTCCTAGTCCTGCGACTATGTTATTATCATGTTAATTTAATTAATACTTCAGGGCCCGTCCCTCTTCCCTGTCCCTTTTCTTCTCTCTCTCTCTCTTCTCCTTCCACCGCTACACTCACTCACTCGCTCGCTCGCTCTCTATCCACCCCGGTGTTATACCGAGTACATTCTTTTTATCACTTGGATTTCATCCAATCGCTCTTTATCCATCAATCTTACCGCTTCAACTCAATAAAATCAACAAAATGCGTTTCTTCGCTGCTGTTCTGGCCACCCTTGCCGTGGGCGCCATCGCTACCGACGCCGCTGCCGATGAGGAATACAGCACCGTCATGGTCACCGAGTACACCACCTACTGCCCCGAGGCCGCTTCCACCGCCGTCCCCGACGTTTCCTCCAGTGCTGTACGTCCCGTCGATCAACTTAACAAAAAGAAATAATGCTAATACGCGCAGGTCCCCTCCATCACCGTCTCCAACGGCGTGACCTACTCCATCTCCCGGCCCCTGATCACCTCCACCGTCACCCGCTGCAACAAGTGGTATGTCCACAGGATAAGAGTGAATGTGAATGTGAATGATGCATACTGACTCGGGAGCAGCCCCTCCTCCACCC